ACAGTTGGCAAGTACTGGCATTTTCATGGTTCTCAGCCAACTTCACGGGGAAAGTAAAGGATAACTAGAATGGCTCCTTGGCCCCAGCTGAAACAAAGCCGAGACACATTTCACTCCATCTCGAGGAGGGGCAAGGGATCGCTATTTACCACAGTCCCAGATGACTTCATGGAATCCGCTCATTCACATGTCTTTATTGGCCCCTTTCCTTTCTCTGTCTCACACCCCCACACACTTGGCTGGTGCTTCCTGGGCTTCTCTCCCTTGCTAACTATTTGTACATGAATCTTTGCCTCAGGGTCTACTTCTAGGGGACCTAGAGAGAGACACAGTTGCCTACGGTCTCATCTCTGCCTTCGTCCTGGATCTGGCCTGGCCTCTCAGATATTGCCCATAACCTGATGGTCCATCCCAGTGGCCTCTTCCTCCATGTGTTCAGTGGGAATGCCCACCATTCATGCAGCTTTCTGATCTATATAGTTTGGGGTGTCAAAGACTTTTAAGAGGACTGAGGGACATGGCTAGTGACCCACAGTCACTGTGCCTACTCCAGCTGTAGCCTGCGATGTGCAGCCGCCCTCATCCAGATCCCAAAGTCTGAGTCTTGTTCCCTCCACATCCATCCTCAGGGTCAGAGACTCAGTCTTTTCCCATCAGAAAGAAGCTCCCAGCTCCTCCAAGTACATTCAATTGCTGCCTCCCAGGAGGAAGAGTTTGATTAGTCCCTGGAGGTACCTCCAGTTTCCTGATCCCACACAGGTCAGGCTCTGACTGGTTTCCCATTGTCCAGACTCCATGCTGCTCTTGGCTGGGGACATATTCACACGTACCAGAGCTGCTTTCTTTAATCTGAGGAGGCTCTGGGGATGGTGTGTCATGGACTGAATTGTGTTTCTCAGGATCCATATACTAAGTCCCAACCCTCAGCCACTTAAGAGTAGGTCTGCATGTGGAGATTAGATCTTTAAAGAGACAATTTAGTTGAAATGAGATCACTAAGACGGTGGGCCCTAGTTCAATATGACCAGCTCCTTAGAAGGAAACTAAGGCACAGACATCAACAGGAGTCCATATGAAGAAACAGAGAGACAAGTTGGCCACACACACACACACACACAGAGGCCTCAAAGGAAACTAACCATGCTGACAACTTAATTTCCAACGTGCAGTTTCTAGAATTGTGTCTGAGGTACTTGGCTACACTAGCCCTAGCAAATGAGTATACAAACAATTAAAATCTCACATACTAGAATGGAGTTTCACAATGTTTCTGAAACCCACCTCAGCCTCTCTTCCAGGTTGACATAGCCATATCCCAAGGCTATAGGCTGAGGACATGGTGTTCTTCCATCCCACTCCGGACAAACTGTGTTTCTCTAGACTCCATAGGCCTCCATCCTTAGAATGTTGGGCTGAACATTTCCTAGAACCACTTGGCAATGCTACATTTCCCAGGGTCCACCAACTCCAAATGTGTCCCACGGCCCAATACTGTAATTCCTGCTCTCAGAGTCCTTGCAGGACCATGGAAGATGCATGAAATATTGCTTTAAGCCTGGAAGCATCTGTGGGAGGATTAATGAGATGGCAGCAAGGGGTTGTACAAGCAGACAGTGAATCCCTAAGCAGGTGGACTCCAGGACCCAAAGTATTCTCCACAGATTCTGTCATGCTTCTGAGAAAGACATGATAGAGACTGTTTCTCTGCCTGAACCCCAGTTGGAAATACTGGAAGGGCTGTTAATGATGACAAGCTCACCCAATCAGCTTGATTCCCTGGCTTGGCAGATTTCTGTGTAGGTGAGTTGTGCTTATTTCTATTTCTTTGGGGCTTAGATCAGAGCTGCTTAAACTTGGAGTAAAAATGAATCACCTGGGATTTGGCTAAATTGCAACTTCTGATTCAGCAAGGTCCTGGGTGCCGATGCAGCTGGTATAGAACCACTGTTAGGACCACCAGGGCCCAGACGACAACTTCAAGGTCTTGCTAAAGATGACCCCTAAAATAATCAATAGGAAGCCCACTAGAATGAGTCCCACCCACAAATAAGGCAAAGATGAAGCCTCCTTAGTGGTATAACTGCAAAAATCTCAATGCTATCAAGCTAGCCCCAGCCACTGTGGCATGAGTTTAATTCCCAGCCAGGGAGCTACCATATGGTGTAGCAGACCTCTCCTGTCTCACAGCTGCTCTCCTCAGCAGTGTATTTCAGCAGATCCACTTGTTCTGCTCCCCACTTTGTCTCTGGTGAATCCTCTCACCCTCTCATCTCTGCCTACACCCCAGCTCCTGTATGTATAAATAAATAAAATTAAATAT